ACACGTATAAAAGCAGAACACTCAAACACCCGAATATTTGAAAAATCAATTTTCCTACTTGTCCATGTAAATTCAGGACAATCGCCATTCAAAGGAATAAAGGGTGATCTATTGACTATATAAGCTGCAGTCATAACAGCTTCCCCCCCAAAATTTTTTAGACAAACCGGATGAAGCCAAAAGGTTTCGAACTCTCTCCAAGAGAGTCCGGTTTATCCTTTCAGCCACCCCATTCTTCTAGGGTGATAGGGGACAGTCCTATGTCTATTTATACCATTTTCTTGACAAAAAAAATTAAACCAGGAGTTGCAGAATTCTAAACCATTATCAGTTCTAAGACATTTAATTTTCTTTGTTGTTTGATTTTCAATTTTAATTTTCCAATTTTTGAAAACATCAAACACATCAGATTTATTTTTTATAAGAAATACCCAGGTTTTTCTTGAAAAATCGTCAATAATGGATAAAAAATATCTAGACCCACCATGTGTGGGCTCACTAGCTGGGCCCCACACATCAGCATGCAAATAATCCAACACAGATTTAGACAAATCACGTTGTTCACTAGGGGGATGGGGAAATTGGACCCTATGGTGTTTACCATACAAACAATTATCACAAAAGGACACATGATTAAATTTTATATTTCCTAAGGATCCATTTTTATATAAAATTTCTAATCCCTTATTACTTAAATATCCTAATCTATGCCACAAATCACTATTCTCTTTAACATAATTTATTGTGTTTACAGGCATATTAATTGGTTCAGCACAAGTAACGTATAGATTATTACATTTTACAGCTTTAAACACAACTAAAGATCCCTTTGTAATTTTCATACAATCATTTCCCCATTTTCCCTCTAATTCTAATTCTAATAAAGCAACACAAGAAAGCAAATTATTTGACTAGCCGGGTACATGGCTCACATTATTTAATTTTTGCATAAAACCAGTGTTAAATTTTAGATTTACAGTACCAATTCTAAGCACATTAGACACACTATTATCAGCCATGGAAACAATACAATTTTCTAAAGTTTTGTATTCACAAAAAATTGATTTTAATGGAGTCATATGGTAAGTGAATCAAGAATCAATAAGCCATTCATTCATACATACATTGTTCACATTCAAGCAATCGACAGTAACAGTAAACACATCACCACAATTTCGATCAAGCAATGTCATATTGGCTAACTCACTAACATGCTGTTGACTACCATTATTATTACTGTTTGAAACATTATTAATATTTCTTTTAGGGCACTCACGTATAAAATAGTTAGGATCACCACAATTAAAACATCTTTTACCCCCTTTATTTGGAGTTCTAGATCTATTGTTTCCTCTACTTTTAGACCTATATTTATTTCTATTATTGTGGTTTTTATTACTATTATTATTATTTCCAGAATTACCCTTTTTATTTGATCTAAAAGGAGACCTACCTCTAGTATACATGACTTCACCCTTATTGGACTTATGTATTTGTAAATCTAACTCTTTAGATTTTAACTCATTAATGACTACATTTAATGTTACATAATCACACCCATATTTAATAACAGATTTTACATCCATGTATGAATTACGAATAGCATTTAACAAAACTATAGCAGTATAATCATCAATATTTTTATTACCAGTATATCTTGTATTAATTTTGAAAAACTGTCCAAATTTTCATCAATTGATTTTGAAAAATCAAGTTTAAAACTGAAAATTTTTTCTAACAAATATAATCTACTAGGAAGTGAAGTTTGAGTGTATAGTTTATCCAATTTATTACATAATTCCAAAGCAGATTCTTGCTTACCTACTTTTCTAATTACATGATCTGCTAAATTCAGTATTATAATAGACTGAGCCATTTCATCTAACTCAGCTCTCCTCTCTGGAGGACTTCAGCTACATGATTCGGCTCTATAGCTATTATTATTCTTTGAGTGACTAAAATGCTTCTCATTTTTTGTTTCCAAATTGCAAAATCCATTTTTCCATCAAAAGGCAGTATATTAAAACTCGAACTACCAACCATTTTGTTTTTAATAAAAAAAGATTTTTTATTTTTAAAAAATACCAGATTTTGTTTTTTTTTTTTAAAGAAAATCCAGAAAACTATTTATTTTAATTTTCACACAGAAAGAAATTATTTTGCAAGTTAATCACACAAATAACAAACAATGACAGATTATCCCAAATAATCAAGCAATCACAGCAAGCAATTTAGGCAATAAAAAAAATATAACCTATCTATTACAACATACACTCGTGACTATTCAACCGAGGTACTCGAGAATCACTCACAAAGTGAGGATCGGAGTTTAGTAACCTTGGTTTCACAATAGCCTTTACAATTTTATTTTTGGGCGCAAAAAATTAAATGTAGAAATTAAACAATCATCCAAAAATAGTAAAATTTGTGAGTTGAAGGGGTTACCCTCGTAGCACAGCAACAAACAATTTATATTCCTACAAAACAGTAGGAAAATCACAGTAAACAAAACCTATTCTCTTTTATAGAAAATAGGGGTTAGCCAAATTTTTTTTAAAAAAAAAAATTCACAAAAATAGAAAACTAACAAAAAAAGGTTTGTTTCTCTTTTAACAAACTGTTAGAATCTCCGAAACAGATTGTGATTTCATAATGTCGACTCAATGAACAAACACTAAATGACAAGGCTTAAAGATTAAAAAAGATTTCAAACGAGATTTTAGTTTGAAAATTATAAAAATCTTTCAAAAAAAAGTTTACCAACCTAAAGTTTACAAAAAACGTTTGTATTTTGACTCCAAAAAACAGATCTATACAAAATAGAGGCTATTAACTCGATTTACAAACTTTTATTTAAAAGGTTTGAAATACAAAACTCGTTTTGTTAAAAGATAAAACGGTTTTGTAACAAACTAACCAAATCTAGTGTCAAACTTAACCAAACTACACAGATGTAGCTATTAAGTCACTAACAACACAAATCACACACGACCGAGGCTAAAAAGCATAGATCGAGTGAGATTTTGGCCGGTATTTAACAGATCTACTAGGAAAAGAATCGAAACGCCAAAAAATTGTTCGATTCAACCAGATCCTTTCGTAGATCTAAAGACTTACAACCAAAAAACCTCAAAATCAAAAGTAATACTCGATTTCAAAACCGTAAACCACCAAAATGCTCTGATACCACTTGTTATAAAAAATATAAACGGATCTATATATTTTATTAAAGAAATCGAGTAAACAAAGCAAAAAAAAACTTTAACTAGTTTTGGTTTTGTAGGCTCAGCCCCAAAACCAACTCGAAACGTCAAAATCGTCACACAAAACCCTTAACAACGACGAACACAACAATACTGGCCCAAGACCCACTAAATAGACCGAAAATATCCCCCATAGAAAAGATACAAGGAAACAGGAACAAAACCACACGCCTAACACGTTGAACGAGCTCCTTTATTAATTTTTGTAATATTTATGTCTAATTTATAAATAATTTAATCCTAATTTAATATATTTCCGGAGTTATAATTTTTATTAGATTTATTCAAATTTAGTTGTAGTTAATTTTATAATTAAATCTGGATATTGGCATTTATTGACAATTTATTTGGTTAAATATTATAATCTAGCTCTTGGAGTTAGCCATTTGGTTGTTGGCCTTTTGAGTTTTTTTGGTTAGTCATTCATGTTGGTTTTTATTTGCTTTCTCTCTCGATTTGGTAAATTAGTGTTTATGTTGCTTTGCTGTTCTTATTGCCTTTCTAATTAAAATTGGTTTTTATTTAAGGTTCAATTTTTAACCAATTGTGCTTCCAAAGGTAGCCAATTAGTGATTTTACGCAAATGTTAACTTCTTTTTGTAGGTTTGGCTCTCTAATACTTGCCGATCGCAAATAAACCGTGCAAATAGTGAAGACTCAGTCTGAAATATAAAGTCAACGAAAATTCAATACGAAGTCAATGGTCAACTATGAATTTGTGACTTCAAATCGTGACCTCAAATGGCAAGGCTGAAGCGCTCGCTACTTTAGACCCCAAATCGCAAAGCCAACTCTGTAAAGTTTAACTCTACACAAAATTGTCTTTTCTTGTCTTATATAAATTAACGGTAGATTCTAGAATAAGTTAGATTATAACGGCCAAACTTCTAGCATCTTCCCTCAACATTTATAAATACCCCCTCTCCACCTTTCATTCGCAACATTCTACCACATCTCCGATGACATCTTATTTCTCTCCCAATTTTCACTCCATATCATTCAATTTCTTCCATCTCTAGCCTCTTCGTATTTTATCTATTTTTTAATAAAATGTGAGCTTGGTTTTGTCTGACGAGCTAGCCGGCTTGCCATATTAGTACTTTAATTGGCGCGATTGGCACGATTGCAAGAGCTGCAGTACACCATCAATGGCAAAAAAAAAAAAAAAAAATGGTTTCTGGTGTGTTTTTAGTCCCTGGAGCACGCGAGGCTATCTGAGAACAAGTCGCAATTTTAAACAATAATCACTAAGGTACCAACTGTTGTTTCACTTCTCTCTCGATTATTATCTCGAAGCTTCTTCTCCAAATCTAATAGTTTTGCACATATGATCGATTGCTAATTCATAGATACCAAAATTTGTTTCCTCCATTGGAGCTTTTTTGTGAATCTTTCAGCAGATTTTGTTTTATGGTTTCTGCATCTGATAAACTTGTATGGCTTTCACTTATAATTCTTAAAACTTTGTTTAATGGCTTTGGCTTGTAATTCTTAAAACTTTTTATGGTTTCTGCATCTGTTTGTATGTATTTGTGTTATTTGCATTTTGTTCCTATGTCAAACCAAGCCATTATTTCGATTCTCCTTAGCGAAACTCGCCACAGAACATTGCACATATATATATTGGTCTAGAAGTCTAGAATGAAAATTAGGGATTGTAAATGGTGCAGTCTTTTGTGCTATTTTCTAACAAGGCGTGCCACGTCCAGAGGCGCCATACTAAACATGGTTCGCCGTCGCGGATCGGCGTCGCGGATCGGCCTTTACCGTTCCAGATACGTCGCGGCGTATCGGTCGCGGTGTATCGGTCAAATATCGGCCTATATGATTTTTTTATATAAAATTTATATTTTTTCAAAAAAATAATAAATAATTAATTAAAATACATCAAATTATAAATATAATTAATTTAAAAATATATATTATTGAAAAAATATATTATAATTTATAATAGATCAAAATTTAAAATGAATAATATTTCAACTAAATTAGCGGATATATATATATAAATGTAAATGCTAAATTTTATGTTTTGCATATTGTCATTATACTAATAAATTTATTTTAATAACAAAATGATGTACCTTGTGTCCGTCAATGTCAAGATTTCATCTTTATCATCTGCATTATATAAATAAAAATAATTAGAAAAAAAATACAAATAAAATTTTATAAAATGTTCAAACTACGTTTATACTAAATATTTATACTTACCATTCAATACCATGTGGAATGTCGTGGAGGTTCAAAATCATTTTCATCTGGATTCATATTGCTTGGATAAGGAGAGATGTTCGAACCATATTGATTTTCTCTGAATGAACCCCTTCCATATACATCAAAACCTCGATATTCTCTATTATCATTGCTTCTGCTTGATGAACCATAATTTTGTCTACGATCATCAATACTACCCGAACCAGATGTAATCCCTCCGTAATATGTTCCAACTGGTTGGTTGGATCCAAATATAGGAAGATTGGCTGAATCCTGAAGATGTCTGGGTAGATTAGATAAACCGTATCCTGAGTAATAGGGATTATGATATGCATTTGGTTGGTCCCACTCCTGTCTCCCCAATCTATTACTCGAGCTATGAGAAGAATCTCCATAGGAATAACCTATATTCAAGTCTTGCATATGTTCGTGAACTCCAGAATATCTCCTAGTATCTGAAAAATTTGAAGCATCGGCTTCACTTGAAAATTCTGTTAAACTATTTAGAAAATCTCTTTGAGCTTCTATACCAGGACGATATCCATGATCAGTGTCTTGGGTAGCATAATAATTTTCATTTCCTTGAGCCCATCCCATATCACTTGAGTATCGGCTATCCCTGTAGCTCCCACTACCACCACCACCACCACCACCATCATCATCATCATCATCATCATCATCATCATTGTTATTATTCTTATCTTCACCATTAGTCGATGAAGATGAAGATTCCAATATGATTGCTTTTTTTTTCTTGGCCGTATTTTTGTTTTCTGATTTTTTCTCTTTCGCCTTCTTTTTTCCATCAGCTATAAATTGAGATAAAAGCATATCACTGTCATGATCATTATGCTCACTTTGACCTCGATCTCCACTTTCTTCAATAGCCTCATCCAACCAATTCAAATCACTATCACGAATAAGTGGAGATTCATTTTCTCTAACCCATTCATCTAAAATATCATTTTCATCAAAAATATGATTCAAATCAATTGGGTCATAAAAATCGTCTGTGTCTGTCCTTTGCATAAAATTTTTTACCCGAAGACGCATGTTGTAGTGGACATAGACTAGCTTATGCAGTTTCTCAATAGCTAATCTATTCCGAAGTTTAGTATGGATCAAAGCCCACGTACTCCAATTCCGCTCACAACCCGATGATGTGCAAGTTTGACTCAAAACTTTTAATGCAATTTTTCTTAAATTAGGAGCTTCATCACCGTACATATTCCACCAGTCAGCTATTAAAAATAAATAAAAAATTATTAATAATGCAACATTTTGTAACAAGTATATTTAAAAATATAATTAAATGATAAATTTCATAATACATACCTGGTAAAGATGTAGATACAACTCTAATAGCAAGTGCACTTCCAAACTCTCCAATTTTGTTAACAAATATGTTTATCTATAGACAATATAATAGTAAAATTATTAGAAATTAATATATATATATATATATTTATATATTATTTATAAATTTCACATAATTTACCTCATTCATAGCCTTTACTTGTATATCCAAATCTGGCTCGAGTCTTTTGATAACTTCTTTTACTCCTTTTCGAACCTCCGATGAATCAAATTCACAAGTGCCGGAGTATTGAAGACCAGGATTTAAAAAATAAGCTGCATGAAATGTATATAAAATTAAAAAATAAAACAAACGATTAGCACAATATAAAAACAAAAAAATAACAAGAATAGTTACCTGCTGCATGCAAATCTTGATGCAATTGATTATACCATCTCTCATCGATGATATCCCAATATTGTTGAAAATCTTTCACTGCGGTTTTTATTGCCATTTTTGCCCTATCCATTGTCTCATAAATGATAGGTAGTGTAGGTTTTTTATCTTGATCAACTACTTTTAAAACCTTCACTAAGGGTTCCATGACCCCACAGACTCGGCGTATCCGTTTCCAAAATCTTTCATTCAAAATCAAGTCTGATATATCTCCGGCTTCATGTCTTCTCCTCGAGGTATTATTGTACTCAACCCATTCTCTAGAAGTACACATTCTTTTCAAATCGGTTGCATATCTCAGAAGACTTTCCATTGCAACAAACTCGGTTGCAAATCTTGTTATGCCTGGTCGCAACAGATCTCGGCCATTCGTATATGTTTTCATCAAATTAACCACTTTATCACTGTTGTATATAAATCCTGTAATTCTTCTGGCTTCTTTTATCGTATCTTTCACTGACAATATATCTCCGATGTCTTCTAACATCAAATCAATGCAATGCGCTGCGCATGGAGACCAAAAAATGTGCTTCCTTTTCCTTATCAGTTTTTTCCCAGCCGCCTTCATACTAGCTTCACTATCAGTTACAATTTGTACAATATTGTCAACCCCTACTGATTCCACCACCTTATCCATTAGGGTGTAGACAAAGTCCGCAGTCTTCGCCTTATTTGTACAATCAACCGAACTGTGATATATCATATCTCTATCACAGTACACCATAAAATTTATGATTGGATGTTTTGTACGAGTACTCCAACCATCACACATAATTGTACATCCGTATGTTTTCCATTTCTGCTTTAAAGAATCAACATACTGTACAACTTCTTGCATCTCCTCGTTTAAATATTCACCACCAATTTGTTTACCAGTAGGTCCTTTAACTCCAGGTCCAACCGATGCAATCGTGTCAATCATCGTTTGGTAGTAAGGACCACTATCGGCAGCGTGAAATGGTATTGCATTAAAATGAAAAAATTTCGAAATTGCTCTACCCACTTTTTTTGCATTATCTTTTGAAAACATATTTTTCAAAGACTTATTCTTCGATTGAAACATGTATAGATCAAGTTTTTTTTGATGCAAACCTTCTGTCTTTTTCATAGAGCTTTCGAAAAAATTTCTTTTACTTCCTTTTGTATTCGAGCTGCTTCCTCCTACAAAGATAAAAAAAAAAAAAGCATATGATCATATATGGTTGTTATCTCAAAAAAAATATACTAATATTTAAATATATTTTATAAATTTAATAAATATACCGGCTTTAAAATTCAAGCTTGGTAGATCTCCGGAAACAGAATGTCTACGCTGCTGCTCCATAAATTCCATATTTCTGCTTTCAGCCATTGCTCTTTTTAAGTGTTTTCTTTCAAGAGCATCTATCTCATCTTCATTTATTTCAAAAACTTCATCTTCTTCCTCATCAGAATCATCTTCCAAACGAATGGAATTTTGCAATGCTTCTAACTTTTTTTTATGTGCTGCTCGCATACTTTTTCCTTGGATCAAGTGTTTTTTTAATAACTCTCTTATTTCTTTTGGAGCTCTCGTGCATGCTTCAACTTGACCTGTAACATGTGCTATATGTTGTTTCATCCTAGTAATTCCGCCGTGAACAATTTTACCACAATAATTGCATTTTGCTTGTTTTCTATCATTGCTGATAGGAGTAGCATGATCCCAACCAATATCTCTGTGCGGTGCCATTTTACACAAACTCTGTAATTGAATAATACAATTGTTAAAATATTTATAAATAGTAATTCATTAATTAAATAGACAAATTATATATTAGTTTATTAATAAATCAAACTTATACAAAAATTTAAGTAGATAACTAATTTGTTTATATAAAAAATATAGTTAAAATATTAATTTTTTACAATAAATTTACAATTAATACAAATTTTGTCTAAAATAATATTAATTTTAAATAATAAGATTATAAGTTATTCTAAAATATTAATTTTAATGAACTCAATTTATATAGATTAAATAAAAATTAAATACAATCCAACACAATTAAACTAAATTTATCAATAAATTAAACAAATTATTCTAAATAATTAAATCTAAAATAATTAAACCTATAAATTAAATAAACAAATTAATAAAAAATAATTCAAATTTATAAATATTTAAATTAATTAAAATAATATAATAATTAAATTTATCTTCCTCCTTTCTTCCCCTCCCCCAGAACGCAGAACCCTCCCCTCCCCCACGATTTCGTTCAGACGCGAACTTCCCCTCCCCCACGATTTTCTTCACCGACGCAGAATCCTCCCACTTCTTCTTCCCCTCCCCCACAATTCTTCTTCAGACGCGAACGCATCCCCCACGATTTTCTTCACCGACGCGAACGCAGAATCCTCCCACTTCTTCTTCCCCTCCCCCACAATTCTTCTTCAGACGCGAACGCAGAACAGAGGTCTTTCCTCCACGATTCTTCTTCAGCGCACTGGTAAATATTTTCTTCTCCGATCTGATCGAATTGAGATGAATTGTTCGAATAATATGAATAAAAAGTAGAAAATCGGTAAGAATAAGATTTATAATGGGTTTTATAGATAAGATATGAATGGATGGGAAAATTTTGGGCAAATATCGGATATTTTTGACGAACCCGTTCCGGTTCCGGATCGGCCGAGTCGGACCGGACTCGGCCGATCCGGCGAACCATGATACTAAATTGGAAGGAATTTGTGAAATTGTTCCATGCTTTTGTTTTTATTGCACTGAAATCCTATTCTTTGTAACAGTTGCATTTAATCTAAAATAAATTGTAATGAGCCCAAAATTTCTAAGAATTTTCATCCGATTGGTTTCATTTTTCACATTTAAATGGCCAAGGAGCTCTTTTGGTTAATTCAACTGCTTTTAAGCATTTCAGAGTAATCATTATGTAGTTTATTGATCTTTTATTACTTGAAATAGTTTAATCAATTCTAAGTTACTGTTTGAGTGCCCTATTGGAGAAACTACTGAAGTTGAGTTCTGGCTTTGTTTCTAAGTAGCTAAACTATCTGACGTAAGGTTCATGTCATGAATAATATTTTGGCTGGTTGGTATGTAAAATAAATTATTGCAATGTGAACTTTATGCCTCTCTCTTTTTTTCCTTCGATGATCTTAATTGCCCATCTATTCAACCAACAATTTCATTCTGCATGGCTCAAGGAAGATATTGAAAATGTTGTGGTCCTGCATTGTAAGGCTCGAATGGCAAAAACAGGATCGATGATTTCTAGTCTTCTTTCGTATCTGCTGATCACAATTGTATCATTTTTGAATTGTTCCACGGACTGCAGTGTTCATTTTTCGAAGACACATATGGCCATTTAGTTTATTTAAATCTTTAGTTAACTTAATTGTTATGTATTACTGTTACACTTAGATCAATTTGCAACCAATTTGTTCTCAGTTCCATTTAGGTAATCTTCTTCTTCTTAGTTGTTAACTTTGGCGAGCAGCTATTTGGGTTAGAATAAGTATTGTTTGGTCTACTAATTCTTCTTCTTCTTCTTAGATTAGATTTGTAGTGGAATCTTGTGTACTGTTAATTAGGTTTAATTATTGTTTTTCTTATTAATTATTTAGTTTGCTCGTCTAGCTCAACCTCAGTAGGTTAGTTTTTTTTTTTGGCTCATTTTGATAGAATTACTTTAGTTGCAGTTTATTTATAATTAATTATTTACTCTTACTGATCGTTGGGTTCCGTGACAATTACAGGACAACCTCACCAAGATATTGCTGAAGAAGAAGTTGGGCAAAATGAATACCTTTGAGGACAATATTTAATAATTGAACAAAATTTTGGTGCTGGGATCTTATCTTATCTTTTCTCAAAGTGAAATTCCCTAATAATCTAGTTCAAATATTTGATAAATATTAGGAGCACTTGTTCACTTTGTGGAATAATTTCATAGCCATATTAACCCTGCACTATTGGAAAATGTTTTGTTCTACGTAATAATGTTTGAGTTTGGTTTAGTAAAATTAAGATTAGAATGGAACCAAGTGATTGTGTGGATATATAGATGATGATAAATATGAAGTAAGAATAAAAAAGAGCATTTACATATAATGATATTGATAATAATATCCTTTGTCAGCATAGATAGATCAATCACGAATGTATCGAAAGAGATTTAAAATAAATATTAGTATATATACGTATGAAACATAAAAATAAATATTGAATAACTACCTTCTTGTGTTCAAAATTCCTATCGAATGATCTATTTGCACTATTGAGTCCTCATATAGGTTTTACATACACGCTCCCAAAAATACATCGAAAGATTATTAAAATAAATATATTAATATATATATGCAAAATACATACAAATAAAGATAAATAACTTTCCTTCTTATCTTCAATATCCAATTCGAACATTCTTCATTAACTCTCGAGTCTCCACATAGGTTTTAGATGAACGCTCCCACGAATGCATCGAAAGAGATTTAAATATATATATGTAGGAAATAGAAAAAGCAAGGTCAAATAACATAGCTTTTTATGTTCGAAATCCAAATCGAAGAATCTTTATTGACTCTCAAGTCTCCACATAGGTCATAGATACACACTCCCACGAATGCATCGAAAGAGATTTAATATAAAATATTGTATATATATATGTGGGAAACATAAATATAAAGATTGAATAACTTAGCTTGTTGTGCTTGAAATCTAAATCGAACGATATCCATTGACTCTCCAGTTTGCAAAGAGGTTTTACAAACAGCCTTCCACGATGCATCGAAAGAAATTTAGAATAGATATTAGTATATATACGTCGGAAACAGAATTATAAATACCAAATAACTACCTTCTTGTGTTTGAAATTCATATCGAACGATATCCAATGAATATTGAGTCCTCGTATAGGTTTTACGTACACACTCCCACGAATACATGGAAAGAGATTGAAAATAAATATATTAATATATGTACGTAGGAAACATAAAAATAAAGATTAAATAACTTACGTCTAAATTGAACGATATCCATTGATTCTTGAGTCTCTATTGAGGTTTTACGTATTTGCTCCCACAAATGTATCAAAAGAGATTTAAAATAAATATTAGTATATATACGTAGGAAACATAAAACTAAAAATTGAATAACTATGTTCTTGTGTTCGAAACTCGTATCGAATGACCTTCATTGACTATTGAGTTCTCATATAAGTTTTACATACACACTCCCACGAATACATCGAAAGAGATTTATAGTAAATATATTAATATATATACATAAGAAACATAAACATATAGATAAATAACTTGCCTTCTTATCTTTTATATTCAAATCGAACATTCTGCATTAGTCTCCACATAGGTCTTAGATGCACGCTCCCACGAATGCATCGAAAGAGATTTAAAATAAATATTAGTATATATACATAAGAAACATAAAAGGCAATGTCAAATAACTTACCTTTCTATGTTCAAAATCCAAATCGAAGGATCTACATTGACTCTCAAGTCTCCACATAGGTCATAGATACACGCTCCCACGAATGCATTGAAAGAGATTTAAAATAAAATATTGTATATATATGTAGGAAACATAAACATAAAGATTGAATAACTTAGCTTTTTGTGCTCGCAATCTAAATCGAACGATTTCCATTGACTCTCCAGTCTGCACAGAAGTTTACATACAGCCTGCCATGAATGCCTTGAAAGAGATTTAGAATAAATATTACTATATATACGTCGGAAACAGAAATATAAATATCGAATAACTACCATCGTGTGTTTGAAATTCATATCGAACGATATCCAATGAATATGGAGTCCTCGCATAGATTTTACATACACGCTTCCATGAATATATGGAAAGAAATTGAAAATAAATATATTAATATTTATATGTAGGAAACATAAAAATAAAGATTAAATAAGTTACCTTTTTGAGTTCAAAATCTAAATTGAACGACATCAATTAAGTCTTGAGTCTCCATTGAGGTTTTATGTACTTGTTCTCACGAATGTATCGAAAGAGATTTAAAATAAATATTAGTGTATATATACGTAGGAAACATAAGAATAAATATTGAATAACTACCTTATTGTGTTTGAAGTTCGTATCGAATGATCTGTATTGACTATTGGGTCCTCATATAGGTTTTACATACACACTCTCTCATATAGGAAAACTGGGAATAATAAATTATTCCTGATCAAGCAGTTGATGAATCTAAAATACAGAGACGGCACCCCTATGACTGATCACTTGAATTCATTTCAAGGCACCATTAACCAATTGGCAGGAATGAATATCAAGTTTGAAGATGAAGTACAAGGATTATGGTTGCTTGGTACATTGCCGGATTCGTGGGAGACTTTTAGGACATCTTTGTCAAATTCAGCCCCTGATGGTACCATTACAATGGACTTGGTTAAGGGCAGCGTGTTAAATGAGGAAATGAGAAGAAAATCGCAAGGCTCTCATCAATCAGAGGTTTTGGTCACCGAAAGAAAGGGTAGAAGCAAAAGTAGAGGTCCAAGAGGCAAACCAAAAGACAGAAGTAAATCCAACAGATATAGCAACATTGAGTGTTGGAATTGTGGAACTCCCGGGCACATAATGAAGTACTGCAGAAAACCCAGGCAAGATGGCTAGAAGGATAAAGGAAAAGAAAAGATGCATGAAAATGGAAAGGATGATGATAAAGTATCTGCTACAACAGGTGATTTTCTTATCCTCCGTGATT